TCAGGCTGGTGGTCCGTCCCCATCAGGCTGGTGGTCTGTCCCGTCAGGCTGGTGGTCCGTCCAGTCAGGCTGGTGGTCTGTCCCGTCAGGCTGGTGGTCCGTCCAGTCAGGCTGGTGGTCTGTCCCGTCAGGCTGGTGGTCCGTCCAGTCAGGCTGGTGGTCTGTCCCGTCAGGCTGGTGGTCCGTCCAGTCAGGCTGGTGGTCTGTCCCGTCAGGCTGGTGGTCCGTCGTGTCAGGCTGGTCCCGTCAGGCTGGCCCCATCATACTGGTGGTCCGTCCCGTCAGGCTGGTCCCGTCAGACTGGTGGTCCATCCCGTCAGGCTGGTGGTCCGTCCCATCAGGCTTGCGGTCCGTCCCGTCAGGCTGGTCCCGTCAGGCTGGCCCCATCATACTGGTGGTCCGTCCCGTCAGGCTGGTCCCGTCAGACTGGTGGTCCATCCCGTCAGGCTGGTGGTCTGTCCCGTCAGGCTGGTGGTCCGTCCCGTCAGGCTGGTCCCGTCAGGCTGGCCCCATCATACTGGTGGTCCGTCCCGTCAGGCTGGTCCCGTCAGACTGGTGGTCCATCCCGTCAGGCTGGTGGTCCGTCCCATCAGGCTTGCGGTCCGTCCCGTCAGACTGGTGGTCCGTCCCGTCAGGCTGGTGGTCCGTCCCGTCAGGCGGGTGGTCCGTCCCATCAGGCTTGTGGTCCGTCCCGTCAGGCTGGCCCGGTCAGACTGGTGGTCCGTCCCGTCAGACTGGTGGTCCGTCCCCGTCAGGCTGGTGGTCCGTCCCCGTCAGACTGGTGGTCCGTCCCGTCAGGCTGGTCCCATCAGGCTGGTGGTCCGTCCCGTCAGGCTGGTGGTCCGTCCCCATCAGGCTGGTCCCGTCAGGCTGGTCCCGTCCGACTGGTGGTCCGTCCCTGTCAGGCTGGTGGTCTGTCCCGTCAGGCTGGTGGTCCGTCCCATCAGGCTGGTGGTCCGTCCTGTCCGGCTGGTGGTCCGTCCCCGTCAGGCTGGTCCCGTCCGACTGGTGGTCCGTCCCTGTCAGGCTGGTGGTCCGTCCCGTCAGGCTGGTGGTCCGTCCCCGTCAGGCTGGTCCCGTCAGGCTGGTCCCGTCAGGCTGGTCCACTCAGACTGGTGGTCCGCCCCGTCAGGCTGGTCCCGTCAGACTGGTGGTCCGTCCCGTCAGGCTGGTGGTCCGTTCCGTCAGGCTGGTGGTCCGTCCCGTCAGGCTGGTGGTCCGTCCCATCAGGCTGGTCCCGTCAGGCTGGTGGTCCGTCCCGTCAGGTTGGTGGTCCGTCCCATCAGGCTGGTCCCGTCAGGCTGGTGGTCCGTCCCTTCAGGCTGGTGGTCCGTCCCGTCAGGCTGGTGGTCCGTCCCATCAGGCTGGTCCCGTCAGGCTGGTGGTCCGTCCCATCAGGCTGGTCCCGTCAGGCTGGTGGTCCGTCCCTTCAGACGGCCACTAGTTCAAAACTAGATCAAATGGATTCACATTCAGTGGGAAAGAGCAGCGATAACTGTGGACCCAGTGGAACCAGACACAGAAATATTGATCTTTTCTATTTTAGTAAAGCAGATTTAAAGGACCAGGTCTGTAGCTGGTGCTTCTGTTTATGTTCATGAACCGTTGGACGTTATGTTCATGAACCGTTGGACGTTATGTTCATGAACCGTTGGACGTTATGTTCATGAACTGATCCTCGGGTTCTGGTTTATTAAGAGAGAGAAGGATTAAAAAAGATCCCGATCCAAACGTCCAGTGCGGATTTGTTCTAATTACGTGACACCACCTGCATATAAAAGCTAAATCCCGTTAGACCACTGTAGCTAAGCAGGGCAGGGCTTGGTTAGTACTGGGATGGGAGACCTGTGGGAACACCAGGTGCCAGTGGAGAGGCTGCGGCTGTAAAGTGCTGCAAACACTTTACCCACAGAATGAATCTGGTGTGTGTGTGGTGGGAGGGGCCCATGGCATAGACTGGTCGAGTCGTTCCTGTCAGTGTGCCCCAGGGCAGCTGTGGTCGCTGAGTGACATGTGGAGCATCTTTGAGTGACGAATCAAGCGCTATTTAAAACTGATGTGTTATTATTATTCCGTGAGCGTTAACGTCTCTGCGCGGTGTGGCTCGTCCTGCAGTCCTCCCAACACCTGCGACACAGAAACAAAACGCTTTCCGGTGGTTACGGCACAGTCCCACACACCTTGATCTGCGGCGAGTGTTCTCTGGGTGTGTCTCTGCTGTTCTCCACCACAACATGCCTTAGTAACCGATTAACGTTGCAAGTTAAAAATAAGAATTTAAATCCTTTCAGGGGCCGCTAAAAATGGTCTCGTGGCCGGATTTGGCTCGCGGGCCTGAGCTTGTCTGTTCGAAAGGAGGAGAAGGTGAAGTGAACGCTCTGAAGATCCTGTTTAAGGGAAAACAACATGTAATGAACACAAAACACAAAGAATGTGTTTGTGTTTGTTTGTTTTTGTGTCAGTTCACAAAGAAAGAGGCGGCAACAAAAAGAATCATCTCTGACCCGCTCTCAGACCTCAGACCTCGGAACTCTCTCTTCCTCATTTCAGTGATGTAGCGTCTTATAATGGACCAACCACTTTAGGACTCTCTGGATCCTCCATAGAGGCATTTATCACAGGGAGGGGGGAGCAGAGGGAGGGGGGAGCAGAGGGAGGGGGGAGCAGAGGGAGGGGGGGCAGAGGGAGGCGGCGCAGAGCGAGGGGGGGCAGAGGGGGGGACCGTCACGGCTTCATCCACCACCCTCCGGTGCGTACACGTATTAGCGGACAGCGTGCAGACAGATCCCCGCTCCTTCACCACAGAGTCTTAAATCACCCCACAGCCCTGTCCTCTCCCGCCTCCCCCCCCCCCCCCCCCGTCCTCCCCCCGCCTCCCCCCTGCCAGAGCGGACTGCTGGAGCGTGGAGGAAATACGGCCAATATGGTGCAGCGAGGTTAGAGCCACGGTGTTAAATCAGGAGCAGCTTATTGTGGCGCTGTCAGAACGACAAGCGCATCGTAAACTCTGAGTCCAAGAACAAGGTCTGAAGTCTCGCTCTGTCTGAGGTCTTCATCTGAGGCCCGGGAGGGAGGCAGGTCCGGTCTAAGGTCTTCACTTGAGGTCCAGGAGGGAGGCGGGTCCGTCTGAGGTCTTCACCTGAGGTCCAGGAGGGAGGCGGGTCCGGTCTAAGGTCTTCACCTGAGGTCCAGGAGGGAGGCGGGTCCGGTCTGAGGTCTTCACCTGAGGTCCAGGAGGGAGGCGGGTCCGGTCTGAGGTCTTCATCTGAGGTCCAGGAGGGAGGCGGGTCTGGTCTGCGGTCTTCATCTGAGGTCCAGGAGGGAGGCAGGTCTGGTCTGAGGTCCAGGAGGGAGATGAGTCTGGTCTAAGGTACAGGACAGAGGCAAGTCTGGTCTGAGGTCTTCATCTGAGGTCCAAGAGAGAGGTGGGCCTGGTCTGAGGTCCAGGAGGGAGGCGAGTCTGGTCTGAGGTCCAGGAGGGAGGCGAGTCTGGTCTGAGGTCTTCATCTGAGATCCAGGAGAGAGGTGAGTCTGGTCTGAGGTCCAGGAGGGAGGCAGGTCTGGTCTGAGGTCCAGGAGGGAGATGAGTCTGGTCTGAGGTACAGGACAGAGGCAAGTCTGGTCTGAGGTCTTCATCTGAGGTCCAAGAGAGAGGTGGGCCTGGTCTGAGGTCCAGGAGGGAGGCGAGTCTGGTCTGAGGTCTTCATCTGAGATCCAGGAGAGAGGCGAGTCTGATCTGAGGTCCAGGAGGGAGGCGGGTCTGGTCTGAGGTCTTCATCTGAGGTCCAGGAGGGAGGCAGGTCTGGTCTGAGGTCCAGGAGGAAGATGAGTCTGGTCTGAGGTACAAGACAGAGGCGAGTCTGGTCCGAGGTCTTCATCTGAGGTCCAAGAGAGAGGTGGACCTGGTCTGAGGTCTAGGAGTGAGGCGAGTCTGGTCTGAGGTACAGGACAGAGGCGAGTCTGGTCCGAGGTCTTCATCTGAGGTCCAAGAGAGAGGTGGACCTGGTCTGAGGTCCAGGATAGAGGCGGGGCTCGCCTGAGGTCTTCGAAATGTTCCCATCAATAACATGTATAATATCTATAATAAATATGTGTTTAACCTCAAAGCTCAAATGTAACCTTCAAACAACAAACCAGACGGACGCCAAAACCCGCTCCCACGCACGCCACGGTCGGCCCAAGAAACGCCGTCACGTTCATAATAATCCAACACATCTGTTCCCTTCCAGGTGCTAAGAGCCCTCTCTGTGAGCGCGGAGGGGAACTCTCCGTGATGCATCCCCAGAATCTAATTTACTAACAGTAGCTGGAAGTTAATTGAATTTTCTGCTTCAAATTTGAATTCTGTCAGAGATCATATTCCGGCGTTTTCCTCACGACGGGCGGATAACTTCATCGGGACCTGTCAGCTCGCGTTTGCCGCAGTCGAGGGGGAGAAATATCAAACGTTATTTATCACTTCAAAATGACGCTCTGGGGTTGACGTGTACTTAATTGTGACGGTATCTGCTCGGAGATAGAGTGTGTCTGGGGTCGGAGACGGAAGGCTGCTCTCGGCAGATAAGAGGCGTCACCGCAGTGGGTCAGAGAGAGCGGGAAAACCGGGAAAACCGGGAAAGGTTCAAAGACAAGTGGAAGTTGGAGCAGCGTTGATAATGCACCGGTCATGAAGGATTATTCGGTCAAGTTTAGTATTAGAAAAGAAAGATATGAATCTGGAGTAAAGCTAGTGTCTGGAGGCTCGTTCACACTGAGACAAAAATATGCTTTCTCACACGTGTAGCACCTCTCTCTCTCTCTGGTCTCTCTCTGGTCTCTCTCTCTGGTCTCTCTCTGTAGTCTCTCTCTGGTCTCTCTCTCTCTCTCTGGTCTCTCTCTCTCTGCTGGTCTCTCTCTGGGCCTCTCTCTAGGACTCAGCTCTCTGGATCTCGGGTCTCTGGTCTCTCTCTGCCTCTCCTCGGGGTCTCTACTCTGGCCTCGTCTCTCCTGGTCTCTCTCTGGCCTCTCTCTGGTCTCTCTCTGGTCTCTCTCTGGTCTCTCTCTGGTCTCTCTCTGGCCTCTCTCTGGTCTCTCTCTGGTCTCTCTCTGATCTCTCTCTGGTCTCTCTCTGGTCTTGGGTATAGCGCCGTAACTTTAAAAGAAAGAAGATAGTTTATCTTTTACATATTCCTGTCTCCCAGCAAACACAGGTCCAAACCTAACCTCCACTTTTCCCGCCGTTGTCCCGGGTCGACACGTCGTTTCAGCCGACATCATTTCCGTAAACAAACAGCAAAATCATTCCTTTTCATTCAGAATATTTGATTAAACGTTTCATTTTGGAAAATACTGCTGAAAGATGCAGAGGTCTGGGATCGTGTCTCAGTGCCTCGGGGTCTCAGTGTGCACATGGTTTTAAACCAGGTGGATCAAGGACGCTCCTTTGAGCCCCCGCCTCTGTGCCATCAGACGAGAACTGTGACCTTCAGACCAAAAGAAGAGGAAAATCACTGCCTCTCTTTCTCCCTCTCTGCCTCTCTGTGTGTGTTTCTCTCTCTCTCTCTCTCTGTTTCTCTGTCTCTGTCTTTCTGCCTCTCTCTCTCTCTCTCGCTCTTCCTCTCTGTCTCTCTCTCTCTCTCTCTCTCTCTGTCTCTCTCTCTCTCTCTCTCTCTGTCTCTCTCTCTCTCTCTCTCTCTGCCTCTCTCTAGCAGTTAATCCTACAGTTCACTCTGGGCCACAGCAGAATGAGCTTTATTCTAATTGGATCAAAGCCTCGTTTACACATGCTCAGTTCAGCTTCGATTCATTTATACTGTATACAGGGAGGGGGGGGGGCTCTCTGGTCTCTCTCTCTGGTCTCTCTCTCTCTGGTCTCTCTCTCTGGTCTCTCTCTGGTCTCTCTCTCTGGTCTCTCTCTGGTCTCTCTCTCTGGTCTCTCTCTCTGGTCTCTCTCTCTGGTCTCTCTATGCTCTCTGTCTTTGGTCTCTCTCTTTTCTCTCTGGTCTCTCTCTGGTCTCCCTCTCTGCTCTCTCTCTCTCTCTCTCTCTCTGTCTCTCTCTCTCTCTCTCTCTCTCTCGTATATCTCGATATGCTAACATGCTAACAGCTTCTTTCCACAATCTGTTATCAGTCTGAACAAAGCCCTTTAAAGATCTTATACTTGTTCATTTAATGTTTTGTTAAGACACAAAAATATAAAAAGATTTCACACGTACAGAAGATGAAGTTGTTGTCTGACACTCCTGACTCTATAGATGGAGAGTCCAGTCCGGTCTGGGTCAGCACCCTGGACAGCACCGCACTGACTAGGACCTGCAGAGACAGCGGGAGACGGGACTAAGCCGAGGCCAAAGTCTGGGGCAGAAGTCTGGGGCCATATGTGTGGGCAGATGGAGCATGGAGCCAGCATGGAGAGAGGGAGGGAGAGAGGGAAGCAAGAGGGAGGGGAGAGGGAGGGAGGAGCTGGGGGTATCAGGGTGTAGGCTGGAGGAAGGTGTAGATTTCCTTTGGTCTCTCTCTGATCCCTCTCTCTCTGGTGTCTCTTTCTGCTCTCTTCTCTGGCCTTTGTCTTTCTCTAATTTCTGGTCTCTCTCTCTGATCTATCTCTGGTCTCTCTCCGGCCTCTCTCTGATCTATCTCTGGTCCCTCTCTGGTCTCTCTCTGGTCTCTCTCTCTGGTCTCTCTCTCTGGTCTCTCTATGGTCTCTCTCTCTGGTCTCTCTCTGGTCTCTCTCTGGTCTCTCTCTTGTCTCTCTCTGGTCTCTCTATCTGGTCTCTCTCTCTGGTCTCTCTCTGGTCTCTCTCTGGTCTCTCTCTGGTCTCTCTCTGGTCTCTCTCTGGTCCCTCTCTGGTCTCTCTCTGGTCTCTCTCTCTGGTCTCTCTCTATGGTCTCTCTCTGGTCTCTCTCTCTGGTCTCTCTCTGGTCTCTCTCTGGTCTCTCTCTTGTCTCTCTCTGGTCTCTCTCTCTGGTCTCTCTCTCTGGTCTCTCTCTGGTCTCTCTCTGGTCTCTCTCTGGTCTCTCTCTGGTCTCTCTTTGGTCTCTCTCTGGCCTCTCTCTGGTCTCTCTCTGGTCTCTCTCTGGTCTCTCTCTGATCTCTCTCTGGTCTCTCTCTGGTCTCTCTCTGGTCTCTCTCTGGTCTCTCTCTGGTCTCTCTCTGGTCTCTCTCTGGTCTCTCTCTAGTCTCTCTCTGGTCTCTCTCTGGTCTCTCTCTCTGGTCTCTCTCTCTGGCCTCTCTCTCTGGTCTCTCTCTGGTCTCTCTCTGGTCTCTCTCTCTCTGGTTTCTCTCTCTGGTCTCTCTCTGGTCTCTCTCTGGTCTCTCTCTGGTCTCTCTCTCTGGTCTCTCTCTCTGGTCTCTCTCTCTGGTCTCTCTCTCTGGTCTCTCTCTCTGGTCTCTCTCTTGTCTGAGCTGCTCAGATATTTATCACTCTTTCTCTTCTTCTTTTTGTATTTAAGTGAGTTTGGCCTGAACCGAGTTTTGAATCTGCTCCAGAACCGATTCTCCCTGTCGTGTAGTGGTGCATTCTGGGAAAGAGCTGTGACATTTATCCATTGGAGTGGCCTTTCTCGACACATCTGTGCGTTTGTAAATGATAAAAAACCAACAATTAGCAGCAAAATAGGAAACTTCTTTGAAAAGCACAAAACCGGAAGAAAACCCACCAACTTATAAATAAATACTGTTCAGAGCGAGGAACTATTTTAATACAGTTAATGTTGGTTTGAACAACATTTAAAACGTATTTAAAACTTGATTTATTAATAAAGAAGCACAACGACCAGTCAGCTCCGTGCAGAGGCGAGCTCACAGACAGACTTTTTACAGTGTAACAACATCGGTTTCTGTTTGGCTAAAATGTGTTTTAAACCTCTTTTTGCGTCGTGTCAAAGAACAAGAGGAACCAGAAACAGAATTCTTAGGAAAATCTTGGTATCACAGGTACTTTTGAAACACATCCATCCAAACAAACACATAAACATTATTCTAAAATCCAATCCAATCCAATCCACTTTATTTATATAGCACATTTAAACAACAGTTACGTTTCCAAAGTGCTGCACAAGAAAGTATAAAATAAATAACAACTTATCCTTAGCTTCACCAAGTAAAAAAGAATAAAAATATATAAAACAGATTAAAACCATAAATAGAAATAAAATAATATAAAAACACAGAGGACCACACAACTCACGCAGTGTTAAAAGCCAAAGAGTAAAAGTGGGTCTTAAGACGAGACTTAAAACACTCTACTAAAAGTCACTAACATTAAAGTGTAACTGCGCTTACAGTACAGGGCGGCACGGTGGCTGAGTGGTTAGCATTTCTCAGCAAGAACATATCGAATACCAGTCGTAACAGGGTCTTTCTGAGAGGAGTTTGCATGTTCTCCCTGTGTCTGCTTAGGTTTCCTCCAGGTGCTTCAGTTTCCCTCATCACTAAAAACATGCACAGTAGGTAAAATCCTCCAGCTCTGGTCCTGACCGAGCCGAGTGCAAACATCTGGAGATGGGTTCCCGGGCGCTGTTACTACGGCGACCGCTGCTCCTGACGTAAGCCTCAGGATGGGTCAAATGCAGAGGACAATTTTCCCGACGAGGATTAATAAAGTGCACCTTTACCTTTGCTTCCTCTGGTTTATGTCTGCTTTCTCTGGTTGATGTTTTCAGAGTCTGCTCGGTTCGGACCATTTTCGCTGCTCTGGTTCAGAGTGAAATTCCGAATATTTTACAAGCATTTTCCAAAGACAGGTATCATTCCTCCAGTGGCTTTCCTCTTGATCTGTTCGGTTTGGAGCGTCCTCTCAGCTCTGGATCAGTGTGAAACCATATTGTATTGTATTGATTGTAAAACACAAAACCATTTCAGAGCTACTTCGGACTCACTGCCGTTTCCCGCTGATTCAAAAGTAAATTAATCGAGCGTAAAATCCACAAACGAGAACGATAACTTTGACATAAACTGATTATTTGTTTCTCATTTCTCTGCGATCGGACGTGAACACATCCCAAAAAAACCTCTCTTTGCCAAAACCTCTCACGGAGACTCGGATTTGCTTCTTACACAAACTCCTTCAAAGCAGCAGAAATGAAACCAAAAGCTCTAAACTGCTTCCAATTTACCAAAACTCGCATCGTCTTTCTCCGCACTTTGATCCGTGGGACACAAAGATCGATGGCACAGGCGCGTTCAGCCGTATTATATTCGCCGCTGTCTGAATGACATATTTCACGTATTATCCAGACTCCTCTCGACGGTCGGTAACGGGAGAAGCCTGAGCCTGGATCGTAAAAAAAAAAAAAAAAAGTATAAGTGTGTCTGTAAACACGCCGGGGACATGCGATTGTGGTTAGAAACAGTATCCGGGGTTTTAAATAGGGCCGTTTCCTGTGGAGTACACGCGCTGACGGACGGGGGGGGGGGGGGGGGGGGGGGGGGGGGGGGGGGCGGAGGAGGAGGGGGAGGGAGAGGGGAGGAGTGGGGGGGCTCTCTGGAAGTCATTAAAAAGCAGTTTGAGGAGAAAGAGAGAGAGCGAGAGTAGAACAAGGAGCCGTGAGAAATGTAGCCGGAGGGTGCAGAGGTGCAAATTGGAGAAAGGCCGGTGTGAAAGCAAAAGGCAAAACTAAAGACTTTGTTTTTACGAACGCGACACAGGGAGCCACGCACGCCTCATTTCCACTGCGCAAACATTCGGAGCAATAACCCCGGGGCACACACTGAGCGACACGGGCCATCCAACCCGCCTTGCGACCCTCGTCTATTTGCTGAGGCGTGTTCGGTGTGAACTAGCCCGGTCTTACCACACCATGGTACTCATTTCATTTCATACTAAGGTCTGGATCTGCTCCATTGACTCCGTGAACAGGTGGGAGGGGCTAACTCCTTTTGCAGATTGAAACCATTGGATCTGAGTTTACTGTGACGTATGTAATGAGCCCGAGTGAGTGAGACATTTAGCATGTAGCCTAGCTTTAGCCATCTCCTTTGCCACTAACGGAGCCCGTGGGGAGTAGAGCCACAACATCTTTGCTTTAAAGACATTTACTAAACATTCCCTCCGTGGGAGCGGATCCCTTTCTCAAACCATGGGTCTCCTCGAGGTTTCTCACTTTTTCCCACTGGCTTTTCTTATGAGTCTTTCCTCTGATGCAGGAGTCTCTTGGAGACAGTTAGTGTCTAAGAAGGACTGTGATGATCCAGGACACTTTAATATTCTACAACATGTATGACATTTATCACCATGTGTTCTATATCCGTATGTGTTTTAACTGTTGATTCTCTGATCTGTGATTTCAATGGTTTTGTTAAGTCTCTGAGATGATGCTGTTGTGACCTAGGGCTAAACAAGAATACATTGTATTTTACTATCGCATTCTCCGACAAACTACAACCAGCAAATTCAGCACAAACTCTTGACGTCAGCGACACCGACCTACAACACCCGCCTCCCCCGCTCTCTGATTGGTCGGAGAGGATTCAACCGAGAAAACTGCAGCCACTAGGATCAGACCCAGACGTACATGTAGGAAATGACCATGGACCAGAGGTTACACATGGTAAGACCAGACGTACATGTAGGAAATGACCATGGACCAGAGTTTACACATGGTAAGACCAGACGTACATGTAGGAAATGATCATGGACCAGAGTTTACACATGGTAAGACCAGACGTACATGTAGGAAATGATCATGGACCAGAGTTTACACATGGTAAGACCAGACGTACATGTAGGAAATGATCATGGACCAGAGTTTACACATGGTAAGACCAGACGTACATGTAGGAAATGACCATGGACCAGAGTTTACACATGGTAAGACCAGACGTACATGTAGGAAAATCATGGACCAGAGTTTACACATGGTAAGACCAGACGTCCATGTAGGAAATGACCATGGACCAGAGTTTACACATGGTAAGACCAGACGTACATGTAGGAAATGATCATGGACCAGAGTTTACACATGGTAAGACCAGACGTACATGTAGGAAATGACCATGGACCAGAGTTTACACATGGTAAGACCAGACGTACATGTAGGAAAATCATGGACCAGAGTTTACACATGGTACTTTGCATTTGTAAAATAAATGAATGATAGATTACAAGTATTCATACAATAATGATATTAATAATAAATGGTCTTATTTCATGAACAAAAAGGAGACAAAGAAACGTATTGAATCCCGCCCCAGGCTTGAGTCCCAGTCTTCCTGATTCTGAAGTTTGTTTTTAACCTTATATTTTGACACTTTCCTGTCTTCCTCGCGGTGAAAAGCAGACACGGGTCCAAACAACAAGCCAACCTTTCCCCCTGTTCAACATGTGTCAAAACACTCACCGGGGGAAAAGAATAAAGCTAGAGTAGGCTCAGGAGTTCCAGCTCCTCATTTCCACCACGTCAGAGTCTCGGAAAGTGTTTGTGACTTAAAGACGTACAATAATGATCCTCACAGAAAATCAGTGAATTAAAAACAAAAACACATATTAATAAGGAAGGATGTTGAGAGAGCCGTGGAGCAGAGCCGTGGAGCAGAGCTGTGGGACAGAGCCGTGGAGCAGAGCCTTAGAGCCGTGGAGCAGAGCCGTGGAGCAGAGCCGTAGAGCCGTGGAGCAGTGCCGTGGAGCAGAGCCGTGGAGCTGTGCCGTGGAGCAGAGCCGTGGAGCAGAGCCGTGGAGCAGAGTCGTGGAGCAGTGCCGCAGAGCCGTAGAGCCGTGGATCAGAGCCGTGGAGCAGAGCCACAGAGCCGTGGAGCAGAGCCGCAGAGCAGAGCCGTAGAGCCGTGGAGCAGAGCCGTGGAGCAGAGCCGTAGAGCCGTGGAGCAGTGCCGTGGAGCAGAGCCGTGGAGCAGTGCCGTGGAGCAGAGCCGTGGAGCAGAGCCGTGGAGCAGAGTCGTGGAGCAGTGCCGCAGAGCCGTAGAGCCGTGGATCAGTGCCGTGGAGCAGAGCCGTGGAGCAGAGCCACAGAGCCGTGGAGCAGAGCCGCAGAGCCGTGGAGCAGAGCCGTAGAGCCGTGGAGCAGAGCCGTGGGGCAGAGCCATGGAGCAGAGCTATGGAGCAGAGCCGTGGAGCAGTGGAGCAGAGCCGTGGAGCCGTGGAGCAGAGCCGTGGAGCAGAGCCGCAGAGCCGTAGAGCCGTGGAGCAGAGTTGTGGAGCAGAGCCGTGGAGCAGAGCCGCAGAACCGTAGAGCCGTGGAGCAGTGCCGTGGAGCAGAGTTGTGGAGCAGAGCCGTGGAGCAGAACCGTGGAGCAGAGTCGTGGAGCAGAGCCGTGGGGCAGAGCCGTGGGGCAGAGCCGTGGGGCAGAGCCGTGGGGCAGAGCCGTGGGGCAGAGCCGTGGGGCAGAGACGTGGAGCAGAGCCACAGAGCCGTGGAGCCGTGGAGCAGAGCAGTGGAGCAGAGCCGCAGAGCCGTGGAGCAGAGCCGTAGAGCCGTGGAGCAGAGCCGTGAAGCAGTGGAGCAGAGCCGTGGAGCCGTGGAGCAGAGCCGTAGAGCCGTGGAGCAGAGCCGTGGGGCAGAGCCATGGAGCAGAGCTATGGAGCAGAGCCGTGAAGCAGTGGAGCAGATCCGTGGAGCCGTGGAGCAGAGCCGTGGAGCAGGGCCGTGGAGCAGGGCCGTCGAGCAGAGCCGTGGAGCAGAGCCGTGGAGCAGAGCCGTAGAGCCGTGGAGCAGAGCCGTGGGGCAGAGCCATGGAGCAGAGCTATGGAGCAGAGCCGTGAAGCAGTGGAGCAGATCCGTGGAGCCGTGGAGCAGAGCCGTGGAGCAGGGCCGTGGAGCAGGGCCGTGGAGCAGGGCCGTGGAGCAGGGCCGTCGAGCAGAGCCGTGGAGCAGAGCCGTGGAGCAGAGCCGTAGAGCCGTGGAGCAGACCCGTAGAGCCATGGAGCACAGCTGTGGAGCACAGCCGTAGAGCCGTGGAGCAGAACCGTAGACCCGTAGAGCAGTGGAGCAGAGCCGTGGAGCAGAGCCGTGGAGCAGAGAGCAGGTCTTTGACACAAACTGAGATAAATAAGTTCCTGATCCGTCACTGCAGAGAAACTGGAGCCATCAGTCTTCATCTGTTTGAAGGAAAACACTGGTCCCCAAACTGTGGTCCCTGCTCCCTCTGAAAGAGAGAAAGAGAGAGAGCGGTCAGAGAGAGAGAGAGAGCTGTCAGAGAGAGAGAGAGAGCGGTCAGAGAGAGAGAGAGAGAGCTGTCAGAGAGAGAGAGAGAGCTGTCAGAGAGAGAGGGGTGGGGAGAGAGAGAGAGCCAAAGAGAGGGAGGGAGGGAGGGAGCGAGAGAGCTGTTAGAGAGAGAGAGGGAGGGAGGGAGGGAGGGAGGGAGGGAGAGAGAGAGAAAGAGAGAGCTGTCAGAGAAAGAGGGAGAGAGAGAGAGAGAGAGAGCTGTCAGAGAGAGAGAGAGCTGTCAGAGGGAGCGAGAGAGAGAGAGAGCTGTCAGAAAGAGACAGAGATAGAGAGCTGTCAGAGAGAGAGGGGTGGGGAGAGAGAGAGAGAGAGAGAGAGAGAGGGAGGGAGAGAGAGAGAGAGAGAGAGCTGTTAGAGGGAGGGAGAGAGAGAAAGAGAGAGAGGTAGAGAGAGCGAGAGCGAGAAAGAAAGACAGAGAGAGTTCGAGCTGTTTTAGTTTACATTGAGTTCTATGGGGAACATAAATGGGTAGGCCACTTGAATTTAGTCTGGTTTAGTCTGGTTTAGTCTGGTTTAATCTTCAGTACCGCGAGAATCCCCCGAGCACATGGTCCTTCAGCTCCGAGCTGTTATACCCGATCCAAATCCTATCTTAACATCTCTCTAAGAACCGAATCCAGCAGTGAACACACAGAACAGCGGCTCATCTCTGGTCACACTCTCTCAGAACACACAGAACAGCGGCTCATCTCTGGTCACACTCTCTCAGAACACACAGAACAGCGGCTCATCTCTGGTCACACTCTCTCAGAACACACAGAACAGCGGCTCATCTCTGGTCACACTCTCTCAGAACACACAGAACAGCGGCTCATCTCTGGTCACACTCTCTCAGAACACACAGAACAGCGGCTCATCTCTGGTCACACTCTCTCAGAACACACAGAACAGCGGCTCATCTCTGGTCACACTCTCTCAGAACACACAGAACAGCGGCTCATCTCTGGTCACACTCTCTCAGAACACACAGAACGGCGGCTCATCTCTGGTCACACTCTCTCAGAACACACAGAACAGCGGCTCATCTCTGGTCACACTCTCTCAGAACACACAGAACGGCGGCTCATCTCTGGTCACACTCTCTCAGAACACACAGAACAGCGGCTCATCTCTGGTCACACTCTCTCAGAACACACAGAACAGCGGCTCATCTCTGGTCACACTCTCTCAGAACACACAGAACAGCGGCTCATCTCTGGTCACACTCTCTCAGAACACACAGAACAGCGGCTCATCTCTGGTCACACTCTCTCAGAACACACAGAACAGCGGCTCATCTCTGGTCACACTCTCTCAGAACACACAGAACAGCGGCTCATCTCTGGTCACACTCTCTCAGAACACACAGAACAGCGGCTCATCTCTGGTCACACTCTCTCAGAACACACAGAACAGCGGCTCATCTCTGGTCACACTCTCTCAGAACACACAGAACAGCGGCTCATCTCTGGTCACACTCTCTCAGAACACACAGAACAGCGGATCATCTCTGGTCACACTCTCTCAGAACACACAGAACAGCGGCTCATCTCTGGTCACACTCTCTCAGAACACACAGAACGGCGGCTCATCTCTGGTCACACTCTCTCAGAACACACAGAACAGCGGCTCATCTCTGGTCACACTCTCTCAGAACACACAGAACAGCGGCTCATCTCTGGTCACACTCTCTCAGAACACACAGAACAGCGGCTCATCTCTGGTCACACTCTCTCAGAACACACAGAACAGCGGCTCATCTCTGGTCACACTCTCTCAGAACACACAGAACAGCGGCTCATCTCTGGTCACACTCTCTCAGAACACACAGAACAGCGGCTCATCTCTGGTCACACTCTCTCACACACAGAACACGGCTCATCTCTGGTCACACTCTCTCAGAACACACAGAACAGCGGCTCATCTCTGGTCACACTCTCTCAGAACACACAGAACAGCGGCTCATCTCTGATCACACTCTCTCAGAACACACAGAACAGCGGCTCATCTCTGGTCACACTCTCTCAGAACACACAGAACAGCGGCTCATCTCTGGTCACACTCTCTCAGAACACACAGAACAGTGGCTCATCTCTGGTCACACTCTCTCAGAACACACAGAACAGCGGCTCATCTCTGGTCACACTCTCTCAGAACACACAGAACAGCGGCTCATCTCTGGTCACACTCTCTCAGAACACACAGAACAGCGGCTCATCTCTGGTCACACTCTCTCAGAACACACAGAACAGCGGCTCATCTCTGGTCACACTCTCTCAGAACACACAGAACAGCGGCTCATCTCTGGTCACACTCTCTCAGAACACACAGAACAGCGGCTCATCTCTGGTCACACTCTCTCAGAACACACAGAACAGCGGCTCATCTCTGATCACACTCTCTCAGAACACACAGAACAGCGGCTCATCTCTGGTCACACTCTCTCAGAACACACAGAACAGCGGCTCATCTCTGGTCACACTCTCTCAGAACACACAGAACAGCGGCTCATCTCTGGTCACACTCTCTCAGAACACACAGAACAGCGGCTCATCTCTGGTCACACTCTCTCAGAACACACAGAACAGCGGCTCATCTCTGATCACACTCTCTCAGAACACACAGAACAGCGGCTCATCTCTGGTCACACTCTCTCAGAACACACAGAACAGCGGCTCATCTCTGGTCACACTCTCTCAGAACACACAGAACAGCGGCTCATCTCTGGTCACACTCTCTCAGAACACACAGAACAGCGGCTCATCTCTGATCACACTCTCTCAGAACACACAGAACAGCGGCTCATCTCTGGTCACACTCTCTCAGAACACACAGAACAGCGGCTCATCTCTGGTCACACTCTCTCAGAACACACAGAACAGCGGCTCATCTCTGGTCACACTCTCTCAGAACACACAGAACAGCGGCTCATCTCTGGTCACACTCTCTCAGAACACACAGAACAGCGGCTCATCTCTGATCACACTCTCTCAGAACACACAGAACAGCGGCTCATCTCTGGTCACACTCTCTCAGAACACACAGAACAGCGGCTCATCTCTGGTCACACTCTCTCAGAACACACAGAACAGCGGCTCATCTCTGGTCACACTCTCTCAGAACACACAGAACAGCGGCTCATCTCTGGTCACACTCTCTCAGAACACACAGAACAGCGGCTCATCTCTGGTCACACTCTCTCAGAACACACAGAACAGCGGCTCATCTCTGGTCACACTCTCTCAGAACACGCTCTGATCCAGGTCTGGGCCTGGGTTTCATCCCGGAGCCGCCATCGAGACCCGATCACTGTCAACAGGGTCTAGAGCAGCAGTGTCAAACTCATTTTAGTCGGGACCAGGTTTAAAAACGTAAGAGCAGGTTGGGGCCAAAAGTATCCAGTGGTTTTCTTTTATTTTCATCATTTGTATACATATTTTGGTATTTTGACCCATTAATTTGACTTGACTTGAGGATATTATTTTCTAGTAGGTTTAGCTTCAGTCTCTCTCTTTCTCAACTACATGTAATTGAAGATTCATGATCAAATATAGAAAATAAATCTTTGGCCTCAACTAAACTTCTAATTGCATGTTAGCGAACCTTTTTGACCAGATTTTATTATATGACCGTTTTCCTGAAAAAAAAAAGCTTTAAAATGAAGTATAACATGCCACAGTAGCCCATTACCATCCACACGGCAAGTCTCTGTAATCATGATAATTGAGGGGCCACTGTAAACGGTGTTGCGGGCCGGATTTGGCCCACGAACCTGACTTTGACCCCGCCTGGTCTAGCGTCTCCGGTCTGTGGCCAATCACGAAGCACCGACTGAAACCTCGCTCCCGCTGCTGCACAAACTCACAGCCGGACGCCGTGTTTCTGAACATGGCCTGAGTAATAGTCTGCGTTCTGGCCCCGCCCCCAGAGAAAGACGACTCTGACGGCTCTGACGGCTCTGACGGCTCTGACGGCTCTGACGGCTCTGACGGCTCTGACGACTCTGACGGCTCTGACGGCTCTGACGACTCTGGCGGCTCTGACGGCTCTGGCGACTCTGGCGGCGCTGACGGCTCTGACGACTCTGACGACTCTGGCGGCTCTGACGGCTCTGACGGCTCTGACGGCTCTGGCGGCTCTGACGGCTCTGACGGCTCTGACGACTCTGACGGCTCTGACGACTCTGACGGCTCTGACGACTCTGACGGCTCTGACGACTCTGACGACTCTGACGGCTCTGACGACTCTGGCGGCGCTGACGGCTCTGACAACTCTGGCGGCTCTGACGGCTCTGACGGCTCTGGCGGCTCTGACGGCTCTGACGGCTCTGACGACTCTGACGGCTCTGACGACTCTGACGACT